ATTATTAAAAATTCAAATATTCTTATTTTTAAGTAAACGTAAATAAAGTCTAAACAAACAAACTATCCTTTTTATATATTTTTAAGAAAAAAACTAAAATCTTGGAGTTCTTAGGTTTAAGGGTGGAACTATATAGAACTTATATTTTTGTATAAACTTTTGTATCAAGTAGACTGGCTCGAGGAAGATAATCTGGATTTGACTGGAATAATTCTTCCATCTGAAAAGAAATAAGACAAAGAATCCGATTTTATGCCAATTCATTCTGCTGTTAAATGTTTTGAAAATCCTTTGGAAAAAATTTGAGAAAATACATTTTTGTTCTCATATAGTTTTTTTATTAAGAATTTACTTTTTCAAAAATAAAAATTAATGTATATTACAGTGTTCCAAATTTAGAGTAGAAGTCCAGTGGCTAGTATATATACATACATATATACATTCATATATGAATCTTGTTTTTTAAAAATAAAAAAATTTAAATAAAAATTGTTTACTAGAACTATTTTAAATTTGTATGATCATTCAATTATTAGTTTTTTAAATTTCTGACCTGACATGGGGGGGTGGGGGTTTGCGCTGCTGTGACCATTTGTGACAAGGAGGGGGTCAAAAATCCCCTAAAAAAGCGTGACGTTCTTTATGGACGACCCCTTATTTAATAAAAGAAAGTGGTTGACAATTCAAATTAAAGTCTAAATTCAAACTAAATACAATTACATTTATTTTTTCTCATTTTGACATTTAATTTTATTAATAAAAACACTGCGCGTAAAAATTAACGCATAATAAGTAAAAAAATTCTAACTCTAAAACGCATTCACCAATCTTTATAAAATTTGGTATAAGAATACTTCAACTTATATCTCAGTTTACGTGTTCGAGGGTTTTTCGAGAAAATATTTTTAAAGCTCTTTTATTTAATAATAAAAAACGTTCATAAAATAACTTTTGGGGATTTTTTTAGGTAAATAAAAAATATGTTGTTAAAGACCGTATTTTTGTTAGTATATCCTGAAAATTTTGTACAAATCAAACGAACAGTAACAAAGATACAGCGCTTCAAAGTCGGTAAAAATGACCCCTTTTTGATTATTTTGCTGAAAAGTGGTCATTTTTGACGACGTTGAAGCGCTGTATTTTTGTCACTTTTCGTTTGATTTGTACAACATTTTTAGTGTATACTTACAAAAATATGGTTTTTAACAACATAAGGGTTTTAAGGATATTTTTTCGAAAAACCCCTGAACACGTAAACTGAGATATAAGCTAAAGTATTTTTATCCAAAATTTTATAAAGATTGGCAAAGTCGTTTTAGAGTTAGAATTGTTTACTTATTATGCGTTAATTTTGACGCGCAGTGTACATTTGATTATCTTTGTTTCGTTAAGCTTAAAAACTTAAAAAAAGATCATTAATATTATTGCCCGACACATTTACTGCAAAAAGGTACCTATAGGTACACCTAGGTAGGTATACCTACTCTGCTTTTATGTTTTTTTTACCAAAATTTTAAAATTAAATTCTCACATATGTTCTTTTGATCAAATTTAGACTTTTTGAGATAATTAAAATATAATCTATAATCTATGAAAATAATTATTGTATATTATGTGCATTTTTTATGTTAAAATAAATACAGGGTCCGGCATCAGAATTGAAAAGGCTGCTATGGAAATACTATTGATTTGGTATAGGTTAAATAGTGACAGACTTATACCTTATTGCCGAAGGTTTTGTGTGCAATGTGAAACTGGCCGGTTAATCAACGGATCTTTGCTGTAAATTCGTTTACCCTGACCCAGTCCTTCGTATACAAACGCAGAGACGCTTTCGTCGTGAATATAATTTTCAAGTGCGAGCTGAAGTCCCATAAAAAATGCCATTTTGAGATGGGTAAGAGATTTTAACGAAAAAGGCAGTGTAAAATCAAAATTTGCCGCTGGAACTCGTACAGTTTGTACACAAGAAAATATTGGAAGAGTCAGAGAAGCGTTTGAGCGGCACTCGATTGCTCTACACATTTCAGACCGAAGTTTGCGACGAATGTTACATCTGGATTTAAAACTCCATCCAAAAAACCGACAGTCCAGAGGCTAAATCCCATTGATAAAGTCAATCGACTCAATTTCTGCACACAATTTTTAATTGCCATTCTACACGAAACTTTCGGCAATAAGGAACAAGCCTGTCACTATTTGACATGTATTAAATCAATGTGTAGTATTTCCATAGCAGCCACGAAACTTTCGGCAATAAGGTACAAGTCTGTTACCATTTGACATATATCAAATCGAGAGTATTTCCATAGCAGCATTTTTAAAAACGTTCAATTCTGTTGCCGGACCCTGTATATATTAAAATTTGTTAACAAACAATTTTTTCAGGTAATTAACTTAGGTACAGTATTTTTACTGTACACTGTTAAAATGGTTTGTTAACAAATTTTAATATATATTTATTTTATCATAAAAAATGCACATAATATACAATAATTATTTTCATAGATTATTTTAAGTGAGCATTCCATTCTAAAAACATGGCCAATTTAATTTTAAAGAAATACTTATGTATTTTAATAATTGCAATCTTGACTCATTGAGTCAGACTCAACTTTTTCAACGCTAAACAAAATGACCCGAATTAAAAGTCGAATAAAAATAAACCATAAATGAATTCCTGCAAAGCGGCAGCAACAAGTGTGCCAGTTGAAATAAATTTGTGCGCTTCCACGTCACACCGCCAGCATATGGAAGTGAAGTGAACGTTAAACGTTAAACGCGTATTTAATAATAACATTGTCAAAAATGTCTCTCACAATATTATTATTCGATCAACTTTATTATTGTTATGGTAATTTAAATAAATACTACAAAAAGTGAGTAAGGTGTTATTAAATAGTTAATACTTCGTGATACACGTGTCTGATGTGGGTATGTTTTGTTTTAGATGTGTAAAACATATCACTGGTGATCCCAATTTTTATCCTAACGAAGAGGACAAGGTCGAAGTTGTCTGAAGTTCGAAAATATTTTTTTATGACAATAATGGACTGATTTTGTGTATGTACTTGATTTTTACCTGTTGTACAAAAATAATTACTAAGAATAGGATGTGTAATATATTATTACTTTTATAAATCTGAGGTATTTTTAAATTTTATAATTATACAAATATTGTACAATTGTAAGTATGTATTGATAGATAATAAACTACTTGTTATTACATTATATTTTTATGATAACTACTGTTTCCAAAACAAATACAGTTTCACTTATTTAAAATAGGGTGGGTCGTTATTTTTTACCGAATTTTTTTTACAGTTTTTCTTCCAAAATCGATGAGACCCGTATTATTTCTTTTTGCTTGAATTTGTTTTGTTCGCCCGTAGGAAATTTTTGAAAAATGGACACAAACATCGATTTTTCTCTTTTTACGACTGACATTTTTTATTGAAAATGCGATAACTTGGCCAAAAATGTTTTGATTGTTTTTTTTTAAATTGTGTGTAAATGTTTACCACATACAAAAAAATATATAAAAAATTAAGTAAATTCACACAATTTTTTTTTAAATTGTATTTATAAAAAAGGCAAAAAAATTGAGCTCAAAATTTTGACATTGCCACATTTTTTTTGCTTCATATTATTTTCGTTTAAAGTTGATCATATGAACAACTTTCACCAAAAGTCCCAAGTTGGCTAAATTCGTCGTTTCGGAATTATATTTTTTTAATGAAAATGCCATTTTCTAGTAACATCGTGGTTCATCGCAAAAATTTGGTATTTTATCTAGGGTCATGAAACTGGGTTGACCTTTAAAAAGTGTGATTTAGAACCTATTGACATATTTAACATATTTTTGTCACTTCCAGTTTTTTAATGTAACACCCTATGCATTTGTACATATTTTGATTTAAAATAAAATTCTGAATACGTAGGTCATTTCGCGAGGCGAGAATTATATTGTTCTATCTGCACTTTTTTCCAAATCTGGAATTTTAGCTCGGTTAAGATATTTTAATGAATATGGTTATATTTACAATGACTTAAAACAATGTTTATTACTCTTTAAGCTACAAAATGCATTTGAAAATTGTTCTATATTTTATTTCCAGCAATACCAAATCATTATAATGTTCTATCTGCTTCGCCAATGGGATTGTCAAAATTTTGGAGATAGAACATTATAATTCTGTAAATTTCAGTTTAAGACTGTAATTTCTGCGATACATGAGAGCTCTTTTGTGTCCTGATTTCGTGCTAAAGGCAAAAAAAGATAAGGGGACATCCATTAATTACGTGAGATTTGGTGAGACGTGGTAGACCCCCCTATCCTTCACGTTCTAGCCATTAAACTTTCATTGCGGACAACATGATAAACCCAAAAAAACATAATTACTTTTTTTTGACAAATTTGAATTATAATAGGTACTTCTATTCTTTGAATCCAAAAGTTGACGTGAGACTTTTAAATGAGCCCCCCTCCCTTAACATGAGATTTGGTGAGATTTTGCTAGACCCCTCCCCCCTATTTTTATCTCACGTAATTAATGGATGTCCCCTAACTAGAACCTTAAATCATAATGATTTAGATAACTTTTTACTTTTGAAACGTCAAAAAATGTGTTCAATGGTTTTACATAAATGAATGTTTTAAAAAATTAAAATAAGGATTTTTTTATATTTAGAGCGGGTAGCTATAGTTAACAGAAAAATGTAATATCTCCATTTGAAGAGTTTCCATAGAATGTCGTTAAAATTTAATATATAATTTTGTGAGGCATCAGACACATTCACAAATAATAATATATAAACATAATAATAATTTTTTTACAGCACAGATTCCAAAAAAATAATTTTTGTGCGGCATTTTTTAATTTTGGTAAAAATATTTTTTGGCTTTAGAATGTTTAAATAATTAATAAAAGTATTATTATGTTTTATGTTGATAAATAAATGAAACAAAAACACTTTTTTATTTTTTTAATGTTATTTTATTAATTAAGTAAATGTACATGATAAATTGGATTGTCAAACCACTGGTACCTAGGTTCGCTATTGTAATCAAACTGATATTTAACACATCGATTGCTGAAAAATAACATAGGTATAAAATTTTTATATAAAATAGCTATTTATGGAATAAGTTGCAAAAATAATCTTTTAAGCATGTTAAGTAAAAATTGGACCACAAAATGTGTGGTACATTTAAATAGGTGAGAATAAAAACAATACAATTCCGAAATTTGACATTTTCATCTGAATTAAACATTTTGTTTTAAATTCGAAGCAGCATCGAACAAGTAGAAGAACATTTTTAAAATCGGCTTGTTAAGGTGTTTGTCAGAGATAACTGTGAAGCATTGAGAATAAGAACAGTACAAGTCCTGGACTTGTACTGTTCTTATTCCAAATAAATGTTGTTGTTGATTATGGATATTATATACCTACTAAAAGTTTAAGGTGGTCATGCTCATGAAAGCTGTCAGTTGGCATTTTATGCTGCTTAAGTGTAAAATACAACAATGGTTTTATCTGATAGTAGGGAAAATGACACAAGACGTAGGAAAAATTTAGAACGATGAAAAATTAATAATAGAAAGTCAGCGTGGTGAGTTTTATATGTCTACATCTGGAAAAATTGTTGAAGAAAAAAGAACTGGACCACCATGTAATGAAAAGAATATACCTAAATGATATAAAAAATATAATGAACAGTGGCGGATTTACAAATTTTCAAGGTATAGGCTGAATAGTTTTTGCCGCCCTTGCCTCAACAATTGTCATATCATACATTATTTTAACAATGCAATAAAAAAATTTTTCGGTATAAGCTCGCCACGTGCACGTGCAACATTGACGTCATTGATAACATTGTAGCATTAAAAAAATACCGCGTTCGGGGAAAAAATATTTTTTTGACTTAAGACTATCTCGCTATTACTGTTCAAGATTTTTTTTGAATTCCAATCGAATTTTCTGAAGCTACTAGTGCATGTGAAACACATAATAGTCGATACATAAAATTGAAATCGGTAAAATTATTCACTAAATTATTCATTATATTCGAATAAAAATCGAAAAATTATATAAAGGGTGTCCAATTAGGTACGCTCGATGTTTGATAGGCGGCTATGGCTAAGTCAGTACAGACACAGCTGTCAAATATTTTGAAGTTTTGTTGGCATATTATGACATTTGATAATGGAGCGTTACACGGTTGCTCAACGCATTCAAATTATTCAATTTTACCAACAAAATTAATGTTTAATTCTCCAAACGTTTCAACGGCGTCATTTTACGCGGCGGCGATATCCAGTGGTCAACGAGATCATGCGATCTAACGCCGCTGGACTTTTTTGTGGGGCTACGTAAAGTCCCTTGTATACGTGAATAAGCCACGAACAATTGAAGCACTGAAGGCCAACATTTCTCGTATAATAAATGAAATCGAACCCGAAATGTGAGAAAAAGTGATAGAAAATTTGACCTGCAGAATGCGCGCTGTGGAGCGCAGCCGCGGGGGCATTTGAAAGATGTTATTTTTCATAATTAATGCCATAGGATGTTCTTTTAAATAAATATATTTTTTTCCTAATATCTTAAGTGTAGTTTGTTTTATTTCATTTTAAAGTTAGAGCACGTGCTCTTAAGTGGACACCCTTTACAAACCATCCAGTTCGTAGCCTCCAACCGGTAGTAAGACTGGCATATTTTTTACAATTTCGCTCTTTTCACTCATAAGAATTCTTAAGTGTGGGCAAAGGGCGCAGAGGCGAGAGGCCGATTACTGGTTGAGGGGCGGCGAACTAGCTGTTTTACTCTAGAATATGGAAGTTTGCTACTCTCGGAATGTGCAATGACAAGTGAGAGAGAAAAGTCATCGACAAAATTTGTTGCAGACTTCTATCTGTAAGACATCAGAAAACCGTCATAGAAAAATCTTTTTGATTTCTATGAGGTAAAAAAAAAATCGTTCCCCAAATTTGCCGCCCCCAAAATCTGCCGCCCTAGGCTCGAGCCTACTCAGCCTGCTGGTAAATCCGCCACTGATAATGAAGTACATCAAGGGAGAAGATCTAGAATTTTACCACCATGTAACATTCTGGCCAAACACAAATACGGATGATAATGCCGGTATACAAAATTGATTATATTATATCTTTGTTCAATAAAAATGTTTATTTTGTTCAATAACTTCCTTTTTGATCAATAAAAATGCTTTTTGTTAAAAAAAATGCTTTTTGTCAAAGAAAATGCTTTTTGTTAAAAAAAATGCTCTTTATCTAGAAAAATGCTTTACCGCATCGTGATGTTTTATTTTTTTCAATTCTAAAACAAAATTCTAAAGATTATTCTAAGAATTCTTGAGATTAAGAACAGTACAATTCTAAGTTGATTTGTTGTGTATATTAAGGCAGGCACGTGTTTATTTTGTTTTCTCAAAATTCAAACATTTGGACATGTACTGTTCTTATTCTCACCGATTCATTTAATGTAACGAGTCAAGTGCTTAAAAGACATCGATTTTGAAACGTATATTATTCAAGATTTTCTGTCACAGCGTTTTCTAACAGATTTTATTTTTAATTAGCCATAAATAAATAAAAACATATTTTTTATTTTTAAACACTAGTGCTTTAAAGTGTCACTTTGACGCACTAGTGCAACCAGAGTGACAATCAAAAAGTCACTGTTATAGAACGCTTTAACGAAAAAATATTTTAGTCTCTCACATTCTAAACTCCAAACAACTTAAAATTCTCGGTTTCAGATCAAAACATTGTGGACCTAAAAGCGAAAAATACGTAAACGCAATCATATTGGATGTTACTGAATTTGAAGATTTCAGGCAGTTGTAGAAGTTTTTATCGCAGTCACAACGGGATCTAAAAAAATATTTTGTTGTAATAAAAAGCTGAGAATATTAATTTATGCAACAAGAATATACCTAAAGCAACACTTTTTTGCACGTATAACTTGTATAACAAGCCGGAGGCGAGTTATAAAACCTTATAGTGCAAAAAAGTGGCTTTATTATATAATATTATATAATAATATATACATACATTATTTTACAATTATTTTATTTTAACATGTATGTCAAATCCTTTTTGTAATTTATGTACTTCCTCAAGGAATAAATTGTAATATTAGTATTAATATTAATAAAAATAAAACTTAAATTAATTGTTTTCTTGATTAAAAATTATTTAATTTAGGTAGTATTATGTGCTGAACAAAAATAGGGCTGCAAAAACTTATTTGTACAGTCAAAAATTACATCAACAAAAAAGCTGACTTTTTGACAATGGTATTGGAAAAACCATTTTATAGCTTTTTAGTTTTTTTGGAATAAATGTTATTTCTCGTTCCCTCAGGTACAGAAAAAATCTACTTTAATAATAATAATAATATTAATATCGCTTATTTTAAAAAATTTGCACATACAATTACAAGAGAACCTACAATTATATATACAAAAAAGAAAAAAGTCAAAAAATACATTCAATGTAAAAACAAATCCTGAAAGGAGTATGGCTCCAGATCACAAAAATTGTTAAACAATTTCTTCTTACGTAAGTTTAAGTTGTTAATTTCCTTAATATCAGTTGGTAAACTATTAAATATTTTCTTAATCTAAGTAGACATAAAAATATAACATTTTGAGTGAGGTTTACCTTGTAAATAAACCTGTATTGTGAAGTCCATACTGTGATTCTCTTCCTGGAATTCCCACAGGACAATTGTCATGGTCTCGACAACACATATCGGTGTCTTGATGGTATCCCAAATCATCTATTGATCTTGATCTGTCACCATTTCCACACCATTTTGTACCTAAACATATAAAAAATATTTGTAGTATTATCTTGAATAAATGTTTAATTTCCATATTTTAAAAGACAATTTAATTTGGAACCAGAGGTGGGAGTATCTTGAAAAAAAAAACTTAAAAGTAACTTAAATACTTATTAAAAACTTTTTATTAGATACTTTTTATATTGGACAGTATCTTTAACTTAGTTACTTTGGAAAAGTATCTTGTAACTTGTATCTTAAAAAGTATTTAAGTTACTCGGTAAAGTAACTAAGATACATTCAAGTAACTTGGATACTTTAAAGTAACTAAGATACTTTTTAAAGTAACTAAAGTACTTTTTAAAATAACTTTTTAGTGTAACTTAGATACTTTCTTAGAGAAAATTGGGGGAATTCCAGAATGATTCAAAGTAATTACCTAACCTACAACTTGTTAAATTTTTATAATTTTATAATTTTTATTCAAACTTAAAAGTAACTTAGTTACCTACTCAAAAGTATCTTAGTTACTTAAAAGTATCTTAGTTACTCAAAAGTATCTTAGATACTTTCGGATAGTAACTTAGATACTTTTTAAAGTATCTTGTAACTAAAGATACTTTTAACTCAAAGTATCTAGTTACCAGAAATGACTAAGTTATTTTGTTTAAAGTATCTTAGAAAAGTAACTAGATACTTTCCCAGCTCTCTAAACTTAAAAATGAACAATTAATAAGCACTTTCTAAAATATAAACTATTATAGTTACTTTATTAGGTACTTTATTTTAACAATAATCTATGAGGCGCCGTTTGTCCGTAAATTATTTTTGCTATATATAAGAATATTTTTTATATACCTATAAACTTTAAATTTTCTATATAAAGCCTGTTCAGAAAAAAACCGAATATATCTATATATATATATGGGGCGTGGCATCGCCTCCCTCCAAGGCGCGTCACAGTTGCTTGTGTGATAAATGACATGACGAAAGGTCAAGCAGGTAAGGACTTAAAAAATTAAATGATAATAATGCAAAAAATCTCATTAGCGATGCAGTCTATTTGCTTAGCTACTGTGTCGCGCGTTGGAGGGAGGCAAGGCCACGCCCCATATATATATAGATATATTCGGTTTTAGTCTGAACAAGCTGTATATGGGGCAAAATTTGCCAAGTGTACCAGGTGAAAAAATTTTTGTCACCGATTTTGTTTAAACTTTGTTCTTATAACGAAGAATCATAGCATAAATTTTTTTTGCTCTAGGATTGTTCATTCAAGAGTTATGGATTATTGAAATTTATCGATTTTTTACCTACTTTTTGGTGAAATCGCTTTTTATTTAAAAATTCATAACTTCTGTTCATCTCTTTATTAAATATTTCAATTTAACCACCTTATATGATTTTTTCCGTACTTTTCAATGGGCTATACCGTTTTGCAAAAAAATAAAAATTGCAATTTTTTTTTGAAATTTTGCAAAATTTTACATTTTTTGAAACAATGTGTATTTTTTACCTTTGAATAAAAAAAAAATTTAGAGTGGGCCCGACATGTAGAAGAGAAGTTTTTCATATTTGAATGCGGTCTAGCTATCGAATAGTAGATGCGAGTAAACGAATACAAAATGATAATTTAAAATGTAAAATTATGTTTGAGTAGTCAATGATGTATTTTAAATATTTACACTGCCACACGTTATAGTTTTTTTATTGTGTATTAGTCCTTCGGAGGGGACTTTAAGCCCGCGGTCCGTTCTTACCCCTAACCCGCACAAGCCATTCAGTTGGCTTATGGGACTTCTTAAGAAGTAAGGGTGGAACTAAAAGAGCACTTTTGTATATAAAACTTTATTTTTTTGCACAAATTGTTTAAGCATGGGTCTACATAGATTTCGCAAGGAGAGTCGATGATATTAAATAAAAAATGTATTGTTATAACCGTAAAGGCTTATAGGCAAGCCGTTACATTTATAACAATAAATTTTTTATTTAATATCATCGATCCTCCTTGCGAAATCTATGTAGACCCATGCTTAAACAATTTGTGCAAAAAATACAGTTAAAAAACTATATCGTGTGGCAGTGTAAATATTTAAAATACATCAATGACTACTCAAACATAATTTTACATTTTAAATTATCATTTTATATTCGTTTACTCGCATCTACTAGGTATAAACGCATACGGCAGTGTAGTAGCTATTCGATGGCTAGACCGTGCGGCATTCAAATATGAAAAACTTCCCTTCTACATGTCGGGCCCACTCTAAATTTTTTTTTTATTCAAAGGTAACATAATAAACTTGGATTTTATGCTATTTTAAAAAAAATTAAAAAGTACACATTGTTTAAAAAAATGCAAAATTTTGCAAAATTTCAAAAAAAATTGCAATTTTTATTTTTTTGCAAAAACGGTATAGCCCATTGAAAAGTACGGAAAAAATCATTTAAGGTGGTTAAATTTAAATATTTAATAAAGAGATGAACAGAAGTTATGAATTTTTAAATAAAAAGCGATTTCACCAAAAAGTAAAAAATCGATAAATTTCAATAATCCATAACTCTTGAATGAACAATCCTAGAGCAAAAAAAATTTATGCTATGATTCTTCGTTATAAGAACAACAAATAAGTAAAGTTTAAACAAAATCGGTGACAAAAATTTTTACACCTGGTACACTTGGTAAATTTTGCCCCATATATAGAAACTTTTTAGTTCAGATAATGCCGCTTGAGAATGAGGGCGCTTTGTGGTAATCAACTAAAAAGCACTGTTGCCAGAGTGTGCCAATGCAAAGTTTTGGTCAGTGTTTCCAATATAACGTTTCGCCAGATCTGGCAGATTTTAATAAAGGTCGAGGGAAAAAAGATACTCTTACGGCTGACGGATTTTTTAATGGAAACTTGAACATAATATCGAATGGTATTTGTCATAAGATTTGTATTTATATAATTTAATTTGTAAGAATCCAAGTTAAAAAAAAAATTCTTTGTTTTCTTATAAATTGACAAGAGAACCAAAACGTAAGAAATTTTAGTTTTTTTAAATACCTATTAGTAAAAACGAAGCCGTGTTTATTTAGAGAAATAGAGACGGTCAAGGAAGAGAAATGTTTTCTTCAATAAAAATAGACCAACCCACCAATATATTACCAATAAGTATTTAAAAAAACTAAAATCCTATACTTTTTGCTATCATTTTGTTCCGCTAGATCTGGCCGAAGATCCGTTATGTTGGAAACACTGACTTTTGAATACCACAAAGCGCCCTCATTCTCAAGCGGAATTATCTGAACTAAAAAGTTTTTATATATATATAGGAAATTTAAAGTTTATATATAAAAAATATTCTTATATATAGCAAAAATAATTTACGGACAAACGGCGCCTCATAATAATAAGATAGTTAAAGTAGTATTCATTGTTTATTTTTAAGATTAGGGTAGTTACGCAATAATTATTTTTTTCCAAATTAAATTGTCTTTTAAGATATCAAAAAATATACAGGGTCTCACATTTAAAAAAAAATGTTATTTTTGTGAATAATTTAATTGACTATGTAGCTCCAATAATAAAAAAATTATTTGGATAATTTAGTTAAAAATATTCTCTTTTCGACCTGTTCATTATATTTTTTAAATTTAAAAAATGATTAAAACATTTTTATCCTATAAATAATATTTATAATATTACAACGAAAAAATTTAAAAAGTCTTAAAAGTCTTGACTCAAGCATGTAATGAAGTTTTTTCGAAAAGAAAACTTTACATTTTTTTTCTCCTAATGTTGATTAAATAACATACCTGGGTAAATTAGTGCAAATCTATCTCTGAAACTGTCAAAATTCGAAAAACTTCTGTCGGTATCCAAACCTGTTGTAACATTTGACAAAGTAAACTTTATTGCAGAAATTGGTAATTCCACAGCAGCAGAAATCGTTCTTAGCGCATCTCTTATTTTTGAATCCAACTGACCATGTTCCCTGTTATCAGAGTTTTTAACTTTTTCGTTGTTAAATATTTTGTTTTTAACTCTGTTAAAAACCACTGAAATAAATAAAAACTAATATAATATATTATGTATAGATAATTTGCTTTTTTGTCAAGTTCGTTTTTTATTTGGACACATTTGATTGACAGTCTATGTAGTATTTTATTTATTTATTTATATTTTAAGTATATATTTTAAAGGTTTATTTACAAAAACATGATAATTTAAAAAAATTAAATTTGGGAAATGTTGCAGTTAATGATATGCTTTTATAATTTCTTGAAATTTTTTTTTATGTTTTTTAATACATTTTTAGAAATGTTTTAGTTATATAATAGTTATTTATGTCATAAGGCTAAGAAGTGAGTCATTTGTGCTGAGCTCAAAGTTTGAATTGAGCCCAGCACAAAAAGACCCTTCTCAGCCCAATGGCATACAAGGTTTTATCATCAAGGCACAATTTAATTGTTAAACAATAGGAATTTTGCCACAGTACCAGTAGTACAGTAGCAGAAGAGGACCAAAATTTGTTTAAATTTTTCGTCTTTTACTCATATTATTATAAACGTTATTTTAATTTACAAGTAATCCGAAATTTTATACCGAAATATTAAATTAATTTTACGTAAGTTAAAAAAAAAGCAACAAATGGTATGTGGGTCATTTTCACCCGCTTTCAGAAAAATGAAGATCAAAATTTTTTTGCTTAAATTGACTTTTGGTTGAAATTTTATAAATGTTTAGAATTTTGTTTAAGACAGGCAGTGTACTTTTTATTTTTTTTTACATTTTTTTCAGAAAAATGTGTTTAGCTAGCTTTATATATCTCCACTGTGTTACAAATTTGAAATCCAAAATTTAATTCAATAAAAAAAGTTGTATGCTTTTTTAATATTTATGTTCGTTAAGTTACTTTTTAAAAGAAACCATTCCGATTCTTTGTTAAAAAACAATACCATTAATATTTTCTTTAGTCTTAGTCACTGTATTAGTGAGTTAAACTCTAATTTATAAACACGTATTACCAAGTGATAGTGTATAAAAATCATTTTAAGTATTTTTTTTTTAACAAAAACTAAAAAAAGTAACGAAATAGACATTGGTATCACAACGGACTGGAGTACACAAAGGACTTAATCAGATAACTTATAAAGGAAACTATATAGGGTGGTACGATTTTAGAGTAATGCATAAACAAATTCCCTATAATCCGTGATCCCTTGTAGTGGTGCTCACTTGCAGAATAACAACTTAGATTTCTAAATAATTTATTGTAGACACCCTTTTTCTTTGACTATAAGCTGGTGAAGGTCTCTCGTCCCTTTTAGTACTTGTATATTGCGTTGTAATCACAAATAATTTTAAATTGGTTTATCATAAACTACTTTTAATAAAAGTGACGGTAAATATCCACTTTGTTTGTCGAAAAATTCTATTGCGTTACCATAAGGTAACATAATGGACTCGGTAACGCAATGGAAAAAGTTTTGTGAAACCATATTTAAACAATAATAAGACATTAGTCATTAATTACTCTCAATGAGCTTTAGTGCCCTAAAATAAACATAAACATGAAAAATAGTATTTTTTCTTACCTTAATTTTATTATTTTTTTTTGAGTAACTTAGCGGACAAACAATTATTACATTCGCGTTACCCGCACCTGTTTCAACCGATATCTTCTTCCTGATTAAATAAATAATATAATATCGGTAAAAAAATATAAAACGCTAATGGGACATGCGAAAATGTCTGTTTCACAAGTTTCAAAATTAAAAAAAATTATTCTGAAATAACCAAACAAACATTTTCTGAAAGAGTTTACTAAGGGCTTGTTAGGCTTTCACTTGGTTTTTAAATTAATAAGATCCGATAATTTTTAACAAAGTTATTGGAATTCAAACTTACGGACAGCGGAAGGCGGGTGTTTTTTGAAAACGACTCATGACCCATGACCCATTTGTATGAAATTCCATATAAATCACACACTCTATTCAAATTCCACTAGTGGAACAAAATTTTCATTATTCAACTAGTGAAAAAATAGCTTACTTTGTTCATTGTTCTCGAGCGTATAATGTTTCAATTCCAAGTGAGTGTGGGACAATAGTACATTATAGACCAGGCGGAGAAAGCACATATTATTGCCGAGCAATTAATAGGCTTTAGGCTGTACTAGTTTTTTCAAGCATTTAATTAAATAATATGTTAAGATACTGTCACATTAATTTTAGGTTAGGTTCGACTGACATGATGACGTTTTAACTTTATTTCTGTACGGAGCTTAATAATAATTTGGCTTTTGAACTAGTATAGTATTAATATGAAGTCTTATTATTTAGACTTATAAGTCTTATAATATAAAAAATATTGAACGCTTAAAAATAGTAGGTATATTGTGCGACTAGAGGGAGAAAGTGAAGAATATTTCATTCAACTACGGCAAGAAATATACATAAAAGTGTAAAAACAAGGAATTTAAAGCCAATTTTGATATTTTATCTGACATTTGACATCTGTCTGACAGTTTTAACAAATCTTTTTTTCAGTTTTAATTTAATTCCAACTTTAGCCCGTGAAAGAAATGCTGTTTTGCCCACTTGGACACAATTGACAATTAGGGAATATATTACATATTACATGTTACATTATTTACAAATGTTTGACATTGTTAAATTCCAAATAAAACGTATCTAGGATAACGTTTTTAATATTATAACACTCAAAGACTTCATATTTGTACGCAGTTCAAAAGTCAAATTATTACACACCGCCGTAAAAAAATAAAAATACATTAAAATTACATAGAAACATTGGTTCCATCTATTGCGTTTAGCTTGAAATCAGCAAAGAAAACACTACAGGTTACTGTAAAATAAATTCATGTACATAACCTATAATATAAAATATATCAAACGTCAAACCTCACAAAATTTCGATAACTTAATATAAGTACAGAGTTATAAATGCTTAAAAAATTATAAAACAGTATATAAAACACGCCTGTTAAATGATGTGTTTTTATTACCTAACAAAAACTCTTTAAAAAAAGTCCAAATAAAAAACAAATTTTAATTAATATATATAGGTATACCTACGATTGGATTCGTTTTTAATATTTTCCCATGCAATCTTAAAATTAATGGATCTCTTATTTTTTTCAATATTTTCTATTAAAAAAATTATAAAATAATGGGTTAGTATACATCCTTTAAAAACTTCAATTATTATTAATAAAAATATTAAAATACTAACCCATGGGGTTTAAAGGCTGTGGTATAGTTCCTTCTATAGAAATAATGCATTGCAACACCAAAATAATGCAAACACCTCCAAATTTCATTTTATAAACTTTTTACTAATTTCTAAAATTAATAAACACTATTTATATAAAACTCACTGTGTTTGTTTATACTAACTAATAATCCTTATATTTTTCATAATTAGTATTTTTTCCGATTATTACAATTTCAATGTTAACCAGTCACCGTAACTTGAAAAACGTTTATTTATAATCATATTCTTTCTCTCACTATCGTAGGTACACGATTTTTTTTGCTGGATATTAAATTGTATGGTGTGGGCAAAATTAATAATTGCACAAATTTAGCTCAATATGCACAATTTATTACTATGAGAGATTCTCACGCAAGTTTGTTTCTTCATGCCGCCGCGTGGTTTTGTTTTGTTTGGTTCAATTTTGTAATGCGTTAATTGAACAGGTCGAAAAAAAGTAATGTTGTTCCCATTGAAGCATTCAACGTTAGAGGTCAATTAATTTTATAATTTAATGATGCATTTAAAACAATGTAAAAATACCATTTTTTATTGGTACTAAACTATTGTACTGGGCAAGATACTCGTACATGTTTTATTTACTACTCGACTGTAAAGCTTAATTTTACAACCTAGGGCTCTAAAGCCAGTTTACTTGTTAATTATCTTACAGGATTTTGACATTTGTTTTGACAAGAATGTTTTTTAGGTTAATTCGTTCAAAAAAAATTCAATATTTAGTCCATTTACAAGGAATCCACTGCAGTGCACTGCTCTGCTGTGAGTTAACGTCTAACTCACAGCAGAGCAGCAACAGCAGCCCAGCAGATAAGACCTGAAGATGGTACATGAGATTGTACCAAAACGACGTCAGACATACGGTTCTTTTAAGAACCAAAAACCGACAACACAGAGAAGATCCCAGAAAACCATTAATACATATGTATTATAATATTCTATATTGTAAGTATTTTTTATATTTTTTGTTTTAAATGTTTATCTTCTTATTTACTTTTTAATTCAATTTTGTTAATGCATTTATTAAATGTATTACTTTGCACGTAAAAATGTTGTGCAAATTAGCATATTTGTTGCAATTCATTGTTAACTGTAATTTAGTTGTAAATTACAAAGCAATAAATATTATAATTATTATTATGTCGCTTTATAATAATATTTAAATTAAATATTTTTTTAGAGAATATTAAATTTATTTGTCTTAGAAAAAGTATAGTCTGCAACTCGTTTATAAACCATTTAGGCACTCATTTAATTAAGCACTCGCTTGCAAGCTCGCTTGTGTTTAAACTATTTGAGAAAAACGAATTTTGACAAGTTTAGACTGCTGGGAATACCTGAATAACAACTTTCTAAGGAAAGTTCTATTTTGCAGGCAGTCTGTGAATCCATTAGAAGAAAATAAGATAGTTCAAAGCACTCTAGATTGATTTTTATGATGATACATTTTCTGATGACGAAACGTCAAAAGGTCAATTTGAGGATGCTGTCTGACTCAGAATTTCCTCAGGATTCCAAATATGTAAAAATATATAGGGCATTCCATTTAAAAATCCAAAGTTGGTATTATTTCCGGCGAAACCGGAAGTTCAAACAATTCATTTTGTACTCTTATAAATGGCATTTTATATCCTAATTAACCATGCTAAATTTCATGTGTCTATCTTTATAAATAAAAAAGTTACATGGGTGCGCCTATTCTCAGATACACCCGGTATATGCAGAAACGTTGATTTATATATATCCACTGATTAAAGTTTGAACCAATTTGGCAACAGTTTTTAAAGAAAAATACTGCGTTGCCATGTCGTGCAAAAATCTATATCCACTGATATGCTAAATCAGTTGATATAAATAAATCAACGTTTTCTGCATACTGCCCTTAATCTAAATATGTAGGTATATCTACAATAAGTCTATAATTTTAATATTATTGTTGTCGCACTCCTTACTAAAATGATTGGTTATAACTTGGGCACTTAAAAATGATTTAGACCAATCAGGTTAGAATTTTTACAGCCTAAAGAGTAAAAAGCATAACTTTGTTAATAACTTTTTTTCATATTACAACATGGGTGCTTACGCTTTTCGTAGAATTAAAATGACCGCCTTAAGAATTGATGTGAATACTAATGGCGGTGTAATTACACCATTTGGGTGTATTTTAATTTTATAATATTTTTGAATGCGGTGTAATTTTGGTTTAATTTTAGACGCAACAAGACTATACCTATTTACCGAAATCTATACCTTTAAAAAGTAAAGCCTGATTTACTTATGAATTGCCTTCCTTTCCCAAAACATGAGCCGTAAATTTAATCCTTGCGTATTGATTAATCATAATTATGTTTCACGGTCAGGTTAAAAAAAGAAAGAAAGGCACCAAAGACGTATTCGAAAGGCACTATAAAAATTAAAGGTTTTTTAAATTAACCTCAAAAATGTTAGGCATTGGCAACACTGGAAGGCCTTATGTAAATACATTTTATGCACGATGACATTATAATATGACAATTATAACAAAAATTCTTTGACGTAAACGTCTTTTTATAGCCCGCGGGCTTTATTATGGCCCAGCGGGCTATAATGAAACGTCAAAAATTAAAAACAACAATGTTACACCATTTGATATATTCGAAGTAAGTTTTTTCGTATAAAGATTTTGATTTTACCGGCAGCAGGCCGCAATTTTTTGCCTTTTCAGCTGCTTCCTTAATTTAATTCATCTTTAAACTTTAAAACTGACTGATGTCAGTTGACATTATAATATGACAATTATAACAAAAATTCTTTGACGTAAACGTCTTTAAAAACAATAATATATTAAAAATAATAATCTATTAATCGTGCATAAAGTTTTGTATGCATTGCTGGCATAACTTGTTTTTATGGTCCTACGACGCTTTTCTAGCCCTCCGCTAACGCGCTCGGGCTCGAAATAGCGCCTCGGACCATAAAAACCTTATTATGCCCTTAATACATAAATAACTATTATGCACGATGACATTATAATATGACAATTATAACAAAAATTCTTTGACGTAAACGTCTTTTTATAGCCCGCGGGCGTTATTATGACCCAGCGGGCTATAATGAAACGTCAAAAATTAAAAACAACAATGTTACACCATTTGATATATTCGAAGTAAGTTTTTTCGTATAAAGATTTTGATTTTTCCGGCAGCAGGCCGCAATTTTTTGCCTTTTCAGCTGCTTCCTTAATTTAATTCATCTTTAAACTTTAAAACTGACTGATGTCAGTTGACATTATAATATGACAATTATAACAAAAATTCTTTGACGTAAACGTCTTTAAAAACAATAATATATTAAAAATAATAATATATTAATCGTGCATAAAGTTTTGTATGCATTGCTGGCATAACTTGTTTTTATGGTCCTACGACGCTTTTCTAGCCCTCGCGCTAACGCGCTCGGGCTCGAAATAGCGCCTCGGACCATAAAAACCTTATTATGCCCTTAATACATAAATAACTATTATGCACGATGACATTATAATATGACAATTATAACAAAAATTCTTTGACGTAAACGTCTTTTTATAGCCCGCGGGCATTATTATGACCCAGCGGGCTATAATGAAACGTCAAAAATTAAAAACAACAATGTTACACCATTTGATATATTCGAAGTAAGTTTTTTCGTATAAAAAATTTTGGGATATTTGGGATATTTTTCCGGCAGCAGGCCGCAATTTTTCGCCTTTTCAGCTGCTTCCTCAATTTCATTCATCTTTAAACTTTAAAACTGACTGATGTCAGTTGACATTATAATATGACAATTATAACAAAAATTCTTTGACGTAAACGTCTTTAAAAACAATAATATATTAAAAATAATAATATATTAATCGTGCATAAAGTTTTGTATGCATTGCTGGCATAACTGGTTTTTATGGTCCTACGACGCTTTTCTAGCCCTCGCGCTAACGCGCTCGGGCTCGAAATAGCGCCTCGGACCATAAAAACCTTATTATGCCCTTAATACATAAATAACTATTATAAAAGGGTTTTTGAAATTTAATCCCGGCGCATTCGCCATTTTCGACAACTTGCGAATTTTGTTTATATTTTATTATGATATTTTCGTTTTTTTACTAATATTTATACAAATAATAGTTTTTTATTATGATTTAAATTATTTGTTAGTATTTCAAAAATTTTGTATATTTTACATTGTCTTTAAATGATGATACCAAAAATTAAATTACTACTTTATTGAAAAAGTATAAAACAAAAAATAATAAAATCCAAATATAAGACAACCTTAAAAATCTACCATGTAACACGAGGTTTATTGTATTGCCAAACTCTCCTAAAATTGTTTTCCAAACTTAATTCTCCATTATCCACATATTCTGTATTATCATTCAATTTTTCATACGTTTTTTGTTTTCTATCCAAATCGTAGTAATCGTCAAAGTTGTCAATATCGTTTTGGTTTTCTCTGGGTATCATAGAAGGCCGTTTTAAATTCTGAAATTGGAAATAATAAATCAAAAGATTTTTGTTTATTTTTTTGGAATATTCGTAACCACTTTTGCTACACCGACATATGTCGCAATCTACTCGAAATAATGAGCCAGGTTTGCAGTATGTAGCAACTAAAAAATAATAATAGTGTCACAAGGAAATCTTATACATAATATAAAAATTATAATCAAAAAGTTGACAGCGGTGGGATTCGAACCCACGCCCTTTCGGACTGGTGCCTAAAACCAGCGCCTTAGACCGCTCGGCCACGCTGCCTGTTATATGTGATCGAGCATAGGATGTTTTAGAAAACATTTGGTTATGAAACCTTTAACTTGCGAATTTATCAAAAAAAACTTTTGGTAATAATTTTAGCAACATTAAATTTTATGTTGGTAAAATAGCTAAATAGGTGTGTTGGAACCAAAGGGGTACAGTATTATAAAAAAAATAAATACCTGTTTTGGGATTATTTTATATACCTACCTAAGTACCTAGGCTTAATTTTTTTCATACTTTTAATTTTTTTTAAATATGAAAATTGTAATTTTAAAAAAATTACTGTGAAAATGGATTTTTTATAAGCCTATTTATGTATACGTTTTTTAGTTTTGAAAATCCGATAATTTTTTATCAACTTGGGAACGTATAAAATAATTTAATTATAATATACCTACCTACCTAGGTATACCTAGGTAATAGTTTTTTCTACTGCCACCTTTAACCAGTGGCGGCTCGTCAGGGTAGGCCTCTGAGGCCGCGCCTCACCCTTAAAATGAAGGAACGAACGACTTTTTGTATTTATATTTTTGCCTATTACAAGTGTATTTTTACAACAGTTCTACCCAATAAAAAGTAAAAAACCAATCAATCATATTAAGCGTAAATAAAAATCCAGGCGCAAAGCGCGTCAAGTTAACGTGCATCGTTGAGAGTCGCTTGGACAGAGGCGAAATTTTCACAGCCTCGGAAGCTCCCATTTACCTCTTGAAAGCGAAAATGACTCACCAACAAAAATATCGCCGTAAGTTCGCGAATAAACACCGTCGATGAGGCGAAATTTAGTTAGCTTGGTTTGTTCTGATTGGTGGTCCGTTTATGGTGGGATGCCAGCGGAGACAAAGAAGGTTGCCAGTCTTCTCTTAGCGTTAGAGATAATTCTTCAATTAGAGACGCGGTTTGAAAATTTAGAATTACTTTTAAATCTCACTGCAGACCAAATAATAGATAAATTTTCAATCTTAAAAGATAGACGTATAGTATTTTATATTTTTTAATACTTAGGTAGGGGTCGACTTTTTAGTTTTATTTTTATTTTTTGATTAATTTATTTATTTTTAACTTTTTTAAGAATATATTTTAAGTTTAAGATTAAAACTAGTCTTTGATGTGATATTTTGTTTGTTTTGTTTATTTTTTGGTTTTGTAGTGCTATCGGCTCCATTTTAAAAAAGGTCAACGCGTCGCAGAATAATACCTCGCGGGTGACGTGGAAATTTATTCGTATTTAGACAAAATTAACCTTATGTAGCCTCACCCTCCTGTACATCCACGAGCCGCCACTGCCTTTAACACGCCCATTCTCGTACATGTTTCCATGACACTAAGTAACCTTTTTTAAAATTTAAATTTTTCATCAATTTGGGAATGTCACATAGGTAGGTATAATACTAGATTGTTCTACAAGTAAAGAAAAGTGAGAGTTTTCCAGTGACAGTGACAAGACAAGTTCGTTTTCCTTTTTCACTCAATGGAAAACTCACTTTTCTTTACTTGTAACTGTAATTACGAGTTGAACATTCTATTTTTTTGTATCCTTAATGGAAAAAGTGGAAAACTTTAGCAAAAATTGTTTTTTTACAATCTTTAACATAGTTGCATAACAACAAATTAAGTAAAAAACAGAACGGAAGATAAGTTTTTTGAAGAAAATGAGGGTATTTTGGAAGCCGTGAGAGAAGCGACTCAAAATCTGCTTCCATCTAAGTCAAAAGAAAAATATGATAAAACTTTTGAACAATTCTGTCAATGGAGAAACAATCGAGGGGTACCTACAAGGTGTAAGTAAAAATGTTATGCTAGCGTTTTTTGGGAAAGAAGCTAATGCTTTCAAAAAATAAATTTTCTAATTTTTTCTTGTATTTCTAGTCCATAAATCTGAAGGTCAACATATTCAATGCTGAAGAGTCCGTTGCAAATATATGAAGGCAGTGATTTATTATCTATGGCAGTGACATTTCAAAATACAAGAAATTAATTGCATTTTGGAAAAAACAAAATGAAGGATATGAGCCCAAAAAATCAAAAGTGTTGTCACCTATGAAGTTTCTAAATGACACACAGTGGGCTAGAGAGCCAATTTAACGCGCAGAAATTATTTGTTTAAGAAATTCTTAGTTAATGTTTATTTTTTTGGTCTAATTGATGAAATTTTAATAAAAATTACTTTTTACTACCAATAGAAAATCATCCACAATATAATACCTACTTTAACAACAAAAGTATATTTCATGGCAAAATTAAGATCTATAGTTTTAATGAGTAAATTACAAAAATATAACTGAACATTTATAAAATAAAACTTAATTGTTACGTATGACAGTACTTAATACAATAATATTATCTCCATTTAAAGAGTTGTCATAGAATGTCATTCATAAATATTTTCAGATTTTTTTACAGCACAGATGCCATGAATAGATATTTATGCAACAAGGCAGTAAAGTCTTATTTTTTTAGCAAGAATGTGGAAATAACCACGCGTGAGTGATAAAAAATGACTTTTATGCCGAGGTGCATATTAAATTTTATACGAAATCACATATACTAATACTAATTAATATTGATGATTAAATCAATGCATTTGAATGCAGGAAGTGTCTACGTATACTGTTTGTTGTGACGGTTATTATAAATTTGCCCGCCGCGGCGATTTTTTAATCTAATTAATAAAATTTACTTATTATTTTTATTAAACAACATTTTATGAAAGGGTCCAATCGACCTCCGCGACGCACAGTGGTCCCGGGAACCTGAAAAGTTGGCATTAAATGAAAAAATTAAACTGTATTTTAGGAAAGTAATTCACTTTATTTTAATTGCGCACACTCCCACGCGTGAGTTGGTAACACTGTTTTCACCAACGACTCTTTTTTATGCGTTCCAGAGCTTGTTTACAGAGCACGTTTTGGTGACGACAACACGTGGCTTTTATTTGCTTTATTCTATTCTTTGTTTTTTTTAGTGATAGAGTGTTAATTGAACTTAATCACCACATATTGTGATGGAGGCCTCAAGTTCAGGTATGTGGCGATATTTTACTATATTTAAACTAATAATAAAGCTAATAGTTTTTATATAACTTGTGTTAAAATAAGATATTGTAAAATTCTTTTATTTTTACGTTATTCTTAAAAATAGCGACACATTAACTTATGTTCCGAGCTTGACCCGGCTTTTATTTTTATTGCTTTTCGGAGCCTGTTTGTTGCTAATTACGAAACTATTTAAATTTGTTGCACATATTTGCTCTTTTTTTCATAATATGAGTTTTTTTACCCGCTTACATATTAGATTTACTTGTAACTAACTACGTAAATAATTCTAGAAAGGCAATTTTTATCTACTATAACCCAACCGATTGAGCTTAAATTTTGTACACATTTTGTTCTGACAATACAATCTAGTATACTATAAACTGTAATTTGTTCAAAATGGCCGCCGTGGCGCACCAAGATGGCGGACTACCATTTTTTATAACTTTCTTGATATGGGTATCAAATAAAAGGGTTTGACAAGTAGAAAACGATAAAATTCGTCACGTCACACTAATTTCAATATGGAGTCCGCGTCCACCTTAAGATGGCGAATTACCTATTTCTTTACAACCTCCTTGACATTGGTATCAAATAAAAGAGTTTTTCAAGCATAATACGTAACTTTACTCCAATTTTAATATGTAACTATGTAATTAAATTTTAAGACCAAAAAGTAAAAATTAAACAATATTTTAAAAAACTAAAAACACGCGTTACCCACTAAAAAGTATTAAATAATGTGACAAGTTTAAGGTACCTAAGGTAAATGCTAGTTTTTTTCTATATTTCTAACATTTACCTAGTTTGTTTTTTCTAGGAACAATGTCTCATGCCAAGTTTGTAACTAGGAAAGAGCTCGTTCATATCTTGAGAAGTTGTGTAAGCAATGAAATTGATAAACAATTTCATTTCTTGGAAGCTGAGATCATAAAACTAACAAATTGTCAAGAACGGCAATGTAAGGAAGTGCGAAAAATAATATCACGTTTCAAGGCAGAATATAAGTCGCGTTGGTCGAAAGCGTCCAGAATAAAGGACAGATTTGAAAGTAAAAATAAAGATTGGCTAGATGTTTCGATAGCGTTTCCAAAAAAAAACGAAAATAGGCGTGGGCGCCCAGAAGTGGATTTCGAGTCTAGCTCTGAACGAACAAAACGATTAAAAACTAAGGAACTGAGAAATTGTACGCCAGTTTCTGTGCTAACGTACGCCACGCAAATGAGTTTGAGGTCAGAAGGACACGTAGAGGCTTCAAAAGTACTTCAGGAAATAACATCCACATCTCCAGAACGAGCTTCTAGATATAGAGATGCCTACAAAAAATCCTTAGAATTACAACCACAATGCATGTCCGGAGAAGACGCCCTTGCTGTCTTAATAGGCGGCAAGTTATCTAGACATCAGTACGAAATAGTCAGGGCTAGTGCTCCAGATAGATTTCCTTCGTATAACGTCGTCCTAGCAGCCAAAAAGCTATGCTATCCGAAAAATGTTAGTATCACAGAAACCTTAGCGATCGTTCCTTTGCAGGACTTACTTAATCACACTGTTCAACGTTTAATTCAAACTATTAAAAATGTATTTGAAACACATGTACAAGATGCTGAATTAGATAAATTATGTATGTACACAAAATGGGGATTTGATGGCTCCTCGGGTCACAGTTCTTATAAACAAGCCTTTCATGGCCCTGAAGCCAGTGATTCAGCTGTATTCATTACGTGTATGGTTCCTATTCGATTAGTATGTAACACAAAGATTATTTGGCAAAACCCGAGTCCAGCCTCAACATTGTACTGTAGGCCTCTTAAAATTCAATTTGTCAAGGAGTCTACACAAGTTTCCATTGCAGAAAAAAGCAGGGTCGACGATGAAATAAAAAATATTCAAAATTCCACCACAATAGTCCAAGACAGAAGTGTGCAAGTAAGTCACAAATTAATCTTCGCCATGGTGGATGGCAAAGTATGTAACGCGCTAACTGAGACAACATCTACT